AATCACATTCAGATGGAGGAGAGTTTTACCATCAATTTGGGCGCTCAGCTCAAGACTACTCATAACCTGCGCCTAATATCTATGGATATTCTCGACTTGTGTCGACTCAAACCCAGGTATTTGTTATCTGAAATCCGGGATGTGTTTAGTTTATAACACCATTATATTTCCAATTAAGTCATAATTTCGGTCAAAATACTCCCCAACGGATCCAGACAGCGATGTCTTTATATTCCAATTCTCTGTCAGCTCTGGTCTTATTAGTTGACAATCGGATTAACAGTTATTCGGGAATCAAATTAGGTTTGAATTTGCAATGAATTAATTGTAAACTTAGAAATACAATGAGATTATATTTGTTTGATTAGATTTTGCGAAAATATGCTCAAAATCAACAGAATTTCATTTCCAAGACCTCGAGATTCAAATGCAAGAATCGACGTCAAGGGCGGAACAGTTGAAACCCAATGTGCTGAAGAAGAGCGGTTCCCATAGCTTACAAACGGGTGACTTCTATGCGACCAAACACTCGAACCTATCGGAGGCTCACGTCGTCTTTCATTTGGTTTGCGACGATTCGCTGCGCTCTTCGGACATTAATTCCAGACATCCCGTGATTCTGGGCTTAAGAAACATTATGAAGACCTCACACCTCAACGATATCTCGAACATTACGATACCTCTGCTTCTCATTCACGAAATGACTGAAGAGATTACTATTCAATGGTGTCTTAAGAGAGCGGAATTGGTTCTGAAGTGCATTAAAGGGTTTATGATTGAAATGGCGTCCCTTTCCTCTGGTGGCGACGAGAATCGTACGGTTCAGTTCGTGGTGCCCAAGGTTTGCCATATATTTGGATTGCTTTTATGAATTAGTGATCTCTAAATGACTTAATTTTAGGGCATTTCTCACGAATTATTCGCGAATCTGACGACAATTCTTCCGAGTATTTTCCGACTCTCCAACCCTCTGGTCCTGCGATCCAGTTATGACTTGGAATAGACTGCAAACTCAATCACCGATTCAAAGCGATTTCTTGTGGCTTTCCTATCAATTCAAATATTAATTGTTTGTTCAAACTTTGATTTTATTCTCCAATCAAATTCTATTGAGTTTTAAATTTAATAATTCTAATATAGTTTTATTCTTAAATTACTGTCACTTATGTAAGAATTGATAGTATTCTCGCATAAATGTGTTTCTATTGAAAGTTCCGGAGTCTATCTGTTTTGCAACTATTTTTTTGTAAAAGGCTTTGATTTTAATGAGTTGACTGCGAAATCAAAACCCAATGTTTAATTAATAAATTAAATATTTTCTTATATGGAATTATTGTACGGCTTATATAAAGACATTCAATTAAAAAGTCATGATCAAGGTTATGATAATCACTTTAATGTGTGATTTGTTGGCTTTGGTGGTGAGCCACTGAAAAGTGATTATAAAAGGATTAAAAGTTTCTTTTAAATTGAAAACAAGCGAAAGGAGTGTTAGTTTTTGGTGAAGTGTTTGCATTTCATAGAAAGCGCTTCACATTTGTTGTGATTATATGTTTTGAATGCCTTTCGACGTGGCTTTCAATGGACTGCAATGAGAATGCATTGAATTGAATGTATCGTACAGTAAGTGCCTATGAATTGCTACAACCATTAGTGTATGCCTACAGACATACACAGCACAGTGCTGTGTATGTCTGTAAGGCATACACTAATGGTTGTAGCAATTCATAGGCACTTACTGTACGATACATTCAATTCAATGCATTCTCATTGCAGTCCATTGAAAGCCACGTCGAAAGGCATTCAAAATATATAATCACAACAAATGTGAAGCGCTTTCTATGAAATGCAAACACTTCACCAAAAACTAACACTCCTTTCGCTTGTTTTCAATTTAAAAGAAACTTTTAATCCTTTTATAAACACTTTTCAGTGGTTCACCACCAAAGCCAACAAATCACACATTAAAGTGATTATCATAACCTTGATCATGACTTTTTAATTGTATGTCTTTATAAGCCGTACAATAATTTTATTTAAGAAAATATTTAATTTATTAATTAAACATTGGGTTTTGATTTCGCATTCAACTCATTAAAATCAAAGCCTTTTACATAAAAAATAGTTGCAAAACAGATAGACTTCGAACTTTCAATAGAAACACATTTATGCGAGAATACTATCAATTCTTACATAAGTGACAGTAATTAAAGAATAAAACTATATTAGAATTATTAAATTTAAAACTCAATAGAATTTGATTGGAGAATAAAATCAAGGTATTGAACAAACAATTAATATTTGAATTGATAGGAAAGCCACAAGAAATCGCTTTGAATCGGTGATTGAGTTTGCAGTCTATTCCAAGTCATAACTGGATCGCAGGACCAGAGGGTTAGAGAGTCGGAAAATACTCGGAAGAATTGTCGTCAGATTCGCGAATAATTCGTGAGAAATGCCCTATAATTAAGTCATTGAGTGATCACTAATTCATAAAAGCAATCAAAATATAGAGCAAACCTTGGGCACCACGAACTGAACCGTACGGTTCTCGTCGCCACCAGAGGAAAGGGACGCCATTTCAATCATAAACCCTTTAATGCACTTCAGAACCAATTCCGCTCTCTTAAGACACCATTGAATAGTAATCTCTTCAGTCATTTCGTGAATGAGAAGCAGAGGTATCGTAATGTTTGAGATATCGTTGAGGTGTGAGGTCTTCATAATGTTTCTTAAGCCCAGAATCACGGGATGTCTGGAATTAATGTCTGAAGAGCGCAGCGAATCGTCGCAAACCAAATGAAAGACGACGTGAGCCTCCGATAGGTTCGAGTGTTTGGTCGCATAGAAGTCACCCGTTTGTAAGCTATGGGAACCGCTCTTCTTCAGCGCATTGGGCTTCAACTGTTCCGCCCTTGACGTCGATTCTTGCATTTGGATCTCGAGGTCTTGGAAATGAAATTCTGTTGATTTTGAGCATATTTTCGCAAAATCTAATCAAACAAATATATAATCTCATTGTATTTCTAAGTTTACAATTAATTGATTGCAAATTCAAACCTAATTTGATTCCCGAATAACTGTTAATCCGATTGTCAACTAATAAGACCAGAGCTGACAAAGAATTTGAATATAAAGACATCGCTGTCTGGATCCGTTGGGGAGTATTTTGACCGAAATTATGACTTAATTGGAAATATAATGGTGTTATAAACTAAACACATCCCGGATTTTAAATAACAAATACCTGGGTTTGAGTCGACACAAGTCGAGAATATCCATAGATATTAGGCGCAGGTTATGAGTAGTCTTGAGCTGAGCGCCCAAATTGATGGTAAAACTCTCCTCCATCTGAATGTGATTGTCATTCGAAGAGTTACTCCAATCGAGTTCTTCATACGGCGATCGACCGAAGCGTTCGCTCGAATCGATCGACAGATTCTTCAGATTCGTTGCAATCGATTCCGGATTTCCATTCTTGAAGTCTTCGTACACTTTGCGAATCCATTCGTAAAACTCTTGCTTTTGTTCATACTTTAGGTTAGAAATAGTGTTATTCCACTCGTCTTTCAATGTCTCCGATTCTTCGAAGTGTTTTACAGACAATGTGTTGATATTCTCTTCGCTAAGAGTGGTTCCGATGCTTTTGACGGCGTCTTCCATCTCAACGGTCTGTTGTGTCAGTAACTCATTGTACGACTGATCGCGCGCTGATATCAAGTCTTGAATGGCAATCAAATACGAGTTCTCAAACTTCATGAGCGATTCGGTGAAGACTCCCGAATGGATCAACTCGTAGTACATGTTAAAGAATTCGTTGTTTTCGTTCATATTATCAAAGCTCTTGTATTTGGTGTCAACTATTGAGCGCTTATTCACTATTAGGCGACAGTTGTTCTTCATTTCACACTCCGACAGCTGTTCCAACATCTGGTCAGCCCTTTGAGTGTCCAGTCTATCGGTTTCGTCGTCAACGAAATCCTTCAGTTTCTGCATTAACTCGCTTTCGAGAAAAACTGGAATTTTATACTTTTCTATCAATCGATACCCTATTTCTCGGTACTTAACATTATTCTGCAGCGGAATCGATAGACTCTCGCAGAAATTAATTGGATACGAACTATCGGAACTATTAAACTCAAAGTCTTTGGTAACTGGAGTATAGAGATAACAATCCATTCTTGATTACAATAAACAATTAACGCAAACACAAAAATATATATAATAAAACAAAAATCACTTCAATATTAGACTTAGTTTTTGTCAATCGATTCCTTGGAAGGAATGGGTGAATGAATGGCGTTAGAGATGTTGATCCACTCAATGGTTTGTTGTAATGAATCACTTTCTGACGGATTCTTATCAAAATTCCAATGAGTTATGCGTTGAAAGCACTCGTTGGCCACGAAATCACTACTCGTGTTGTCTTTCACCACAAATGCTCTGCAATTGTCGGGCAAATCAATTGAACGGCCGACTAGTGGTCTGCCGCGGAATGAACTTAAGAGGACCTCCTTTTTGTCACTTTGTCTTATGGTTGGCGCAAAGTATTTGTCAACTTCTGCCTCGCAGTCTTCAATCACTTTACACGGAATTGAATGACAAATCACTTTGGGATCAGTTTTGGTATCACTTAATATGATTTTCTTATCAGACATTTCACTTCACAAAAACAAGTCTATCAACGAAACCAATGATAAAAACGGAGATAACAGTCGTGCGTTTAGCCCCAGGCCTGGGATTTAGCGTAATATAAGACTAACTTTCCGTCGGATCCGAAGCACTCGAGAAGATTGCGAACGGTTTGGTCGGGAGAGGGACTGAATGTCTGGTTTACGTACAGAAACTGCAACAGAAAGAGAGACAACCATTACAGACATCATCCCGAGTGCAAGACATGCACCACAAGACTGTCATTACCAGCGATTCGTTGGCTTCGAGTTTAATATATCTCTTAATGAACTCATTGATCCATCCAATGGTACGGTTTGAGTCGACCTTCCAGTTCTTCTTCTTCATAATAGGCGCGTCTCCGGTCGCCTTAACTGGATATAGGAATGGCATTCATATTGTATTGAAGTATATTTGCAACAAAATCACATCAATTGAGTCATCGATGCAATCAATTAATATTATAATCAATTATATTTCACTACAAAACTAATTATCAATGAATTGTAACTCACGTAACACATCGACTGATCCAAGCATTCAATGGACAAACATAATCAGGGAGACAGAGACATCTCGTTAGACATTTACGATCATTGCGTGCATATTGTCATCGAAATGGTCGAGAAGTACGGACCAAATGACGGAATCACTTACTTTTGTCGTCATTTTGTTTGGCGTCTGCGGTGGCAATGTCTTCAGTATTTGGTGGTAACGATTCTGCCATAACATACACTTACGTTACCATTCATTCATCGCGTTATCTGCGGCCACGCGTTGTGTCACAACAGATAGTGTCCGCGACTGATGAGTCAAACGAGTGGATCAACTGATTGTAGAAAATGGTGCGAAAGTGGTGTCAAATTGAGGGGAGTTTTCAATGCATTCACGCATTCATTGCATTCACTGAAACAGTCAATGCCTTCAATGCAAACAAAAGTCAAGTTTGCGCTCAATTTGCACTCAAATTCATTCAGTGCTAAGCCTATGAACACAATACTCTTCCTATTCATTATTCTGGAGCCTATCGTAACATGCGATTAATGATCCAGGTCACAGTCAATCACTAGTTTTTGACATTTATTTGTATTTAGATTATTGTATATTGCATTGTATCATAATTACAATGCATGTATAAATAATATATTCATGCGTTTATTCCTACCTTAAGTCAGATAATTAAATAACAATACAATGTAAAAATTGAATAAATTCCTATTGCTTAATAAATACCGTACCACACTGTACTACCAGTGCCAAAGTTTAGTTTAAAAATTTTGATTTTAATTAAATTATAAAATATGAATTTTAATACAAAAATTAAATGATTTAATATTAAGTCATATATTAATAAATATATATTACTTTGATTTACAATAAAATAAATATTTAATGGAATTTAAAGTGAATATAAGTTTTACAGCCAATCGAGTGGTGAATGCAATCACAGTATTGTATCGCTTATAAGACCGGGACTCTCGACGATGTGTTTCCTTCGGTCGATGGCTTTCAATATCTTACGTCTGGGGCCGAGGGGTAGGCCTAATGTGATGAAGTCCTGTTCGTTCAAAAGCATGAGAGCCTCCAAATCGATCTTTTCGGCCGAGAATAACGAGAAGTAGTCTTTCAATCCGTGGGCGTACAGGAAGAGTAGGATAGGAATGGTTTTCGAGTGGTCGACGTCATCCTCGTCCTCCTCATCCCATACCCGTCCCAAACCCAACGCATTCCTATGCGCCAGACTCCCAGCGCTTCCAATGCTGTCGGCATAGCCCGTGGAACTCCTATCACTGCCTTTCCTTTCGCTGCTTTCATCGCTCATATGTTTGGAGAAAAGTGTTTCCGAAGTGAATCTTCCTCTGAAGGAAACGGACCCAAAGCCGGGCCTCACGAATATACTCGACTCCGGGGTCTCTGTCTTGCGATCAATGAGTGTTTGCGAGTCTTCGAAGTTATTGAGGAAATCTGGTTCACTGATAGTCCGGTACAGTTTGGCCACTCTCTCATCCCTCGCATCCCTTTCGGGGATTGAATTGATATTTAAGTTGGACTTATAGTTAATGCCTGTCCTCTCGATCTGGTCGCTGGTGAACACATCCTTCATATGCAACCTATTGTTCGCACAATTGGTCTCATAGTTGGAGTTCGTGTCGAATTTAGGCACATATAGTATCTGAGAGTCCCGTCGGATGCCCATCAGTGAGCGCACAGATCGAGTGCAGTCGTCACCGGATATGTCCCTCACTTTGAAGTCACTGTTCGTCGAAACGGAGTCCGAGTTTTGTTTCTTCAAATGCACTTTCCGTGAAACTCCGCCCAAAATCTTAATCTTATTAGTCGTTCCGTTTGATTGATTGTTCACTATATCGGAAAACTTGAGTGAATTGTTTTGTAGGGAACGACACTCTTTGCGCACAATAGCGAGATTGGGTTGAGAGGCGACCATTTGGTTCGCCGTTTTGTCTTTGCTATCAATAACTTCAATGATTTTCTTTCTCTGCTTTTCGAGCAGTCGTTCCTCTTTTTCAGCCTTTTTTGCCGACTTTTTCTGTCGTTTTTGATAGATTTTGATCCGCTTTTCGGCGTCTATTATAGCCTTTTCCTTCATCTTTTGTACGACTTTGGTGTTGAGTGCGCTCTGTTTGGCGATCACGTCATCCAAGAAGTGGATCACCTCTTCGTGATGGTTGATTGCGGCCACATCTTTGGCGGTGTGGTAGTCGTTGTCGAGTGACCACAGATTCACACCAAAGCTGACCAGAAATGACACACAATTCATGTGACCGTTCGCTGCGCTCCAGTGGAGGGCTGTGTTCCCCATGTTATCACATTTGCCCGGATCTCCTCTGCACCACACATACAGACAATTCAATAAACATTTTTAGTTTGCTTTTTGGCAACATTTGGACTATTATTAGATTATTAGACAAATAGCAAAATGGGCTCAAATTGTTAACATTATTCACTAATGAATGATTTAAACAAAAAATTCTGATAAACAAATTCTTGTATTGAGATAAACAGTAATTTTAACTCAAAAATTTAAAACTTTTAAAGTCGTATAAATAAAAAATAATCTAATTTATAAATAAACTTGCTAACTATGCTATTCCCTATTTTTAGTGTTCTTTCTATGTTATTTTATTTGTATTTTTTAAATATCACAAATTTAATAAATAAAAGTAGACTGACTTATATTTAAGCATTGAATAAAGTCTTTGTATTTTTTCGCTAAAATGCAACAGAAATTCAAAAACAATTTTCGTAAGTTTTGTTATTTATTTAATTTGAAGTCTCAGTTGTGACTGAAGGGAAATGTTTATATGTATTCAATTTTCAAGCACCTATTATTATATCAAAAAACACAACTTGTAATACATGTAAACGAAAGTTCAAATAAATAGAAAAACTAGCCTTAAGTTTGTTGCGAGATCTTTCATATATAAAGTAATAATATTTTATAAGTTGTGTCATAAATATATTTTTATTTATAGAATAATACACTAATATTTCACGATCTGTAGGCACCGGTCTGTATGAAACACACAGAGATGTGCCAAACCTTTATTTAATAAAAATAAATTATAATTTGCAGAGAATTTTATTTTTCTCCAATTCTATTCAAATATATTTTTTTGTGTTTTCTAAAAAAACTTAAATAAATAAATAAACTCTTCTATTATAGGAAACACTTCGTAAATAAATGTAATAAAAATAAAATATGTAAATTTAATAATAAATGTAAAACAAAAGGTTAAGATAATAGTGAATAATAAAAGCAATTTTGACAAAATAATTTATTACGGGGANCAGACATTTCACTTCACAAAAACAAGTCTATCAACGAAACCAATGATAAAAACGGAGATAACAGTCGTGCGTTTAGCCCCAGGCCTGGGATTTAGCGTAATATAAGACTAACTTTCCGTCGGATCCGAAGCACTCGAGAAGATTGCGAACGGTTTGGTCGGGAGAGGGACTGAACGTCTGGTTTACGTACAGAAACTGCAACAGAAAGAGAGACACAATCATTACAGACATCATCGCGAGTGCAAGACATGCACCACAAGACTGTCATTACCAGCGATTCGTTGGCTTCGAGTTTGATATATCTCTTAATGAACTCATTGATCCATCCAATGGTACGGTTTGAGTCGACCTTCCAGTTCTTCTTCTTCATAATAGGCGCGTCGCCGGTAGCCTTAACTGCATTTATGAATGGCATTCATATTGTATTGAAATATATTTGCAACAAGGTTAATTCATTATAATATTAATTCATTCATCGATTACTCAATTCACTACAAAACTAATTATCAATGACTTTAACTCACGTAACACATCGACTGATCCAAGCATTCAATGGACACATAATCAGGGAGACAGACAGACATCTCGTTAGACATTTGCGATCATTGCGTGCATATTGTCATCAAAATAGTCTCGAAGTACGGACCAAATGACGGAATCACTTACTTTTGTCGTCATTTTGTTTGGCGTCTGCGGTGGCAATGTCTTCAGTATTTGGTGGTAACGATTCTGCCATAACATACACTTACGTTACCAGTCATTCATCGCGTTATCTGCGGCCACGCGTTGTGTCACAACAGATAGTGTCCGCGACTGATGAGTCAAACGAGTGGATCAACTGATTGTAGAAAATGGTGCGAAAGTGGTGTCAAATTGAGGGGAGT